CACCCCCCCACCCCCCCCAACTGTGCTTTAGAACATCCCCTCTCTCTTCCAGGCCTCCTGCCCCTTTCCCCAGAGCTCCTCTCCAGCCAAACATCAGGATTTGGCTGCCACCTCCCAGGCACAGCATCACTTCTGCCAAGCTTTACTCCCACCAGCTGCCTGGGCACAACTTGGGTCTCCTCTGCTGTACAGGAGGGTCTCTAATTCCCACCTGCCCCCAAGAAAATTACAATTGTCGCAAACGTATTTGGCTTCCCATGGAGAAAGCAGAGGACATTCCAAAATTTACTTCCACTTGAAGCCCCATCTCCAGAGAATAAACTGGGGAATGTCTAGGGAAGAGTCAATCTGAATTGTATTACTTTTATGGGAAGAAAACACTTTCTTTTCCTTTTCTGTGTCTTTGAAATGGTTTCATAGATGAGGTTTCAAAAGTTTAAGTGAATGCCCAGTGTGGAACATTTCTGCTCTAATACTTATGTTAGTAAATCTGCAATCAGCTCTAAAGTAAGTCTCCCAAGTAAGCGTACCTAAACACTCTAGGGAGGCAGCTCTGCTCTGTTCTGTTACTGGCAGTGAGTTTTTTGCACTTGGTCTTGCATTGCATTTCTGTTGCATTTTTATACTGTGCAGGAGCCACCACTTTTACGCCAGGCTTGCAGAGGTCTGTCTTGACAAGCTCACCTTCATGTAATTCTTAATCGTTATTAATCCCGTGTCTGTGTTTGTTTTGTTGTTCCCCGCCCAAGTTAGAAACTGTTAATATAGTAAGTCATTTGAATTAAACGGAGAACAACGATTGATCTTTATGGGACTCTTTAGGGAATTTCCCATGGTAGGCATTTGTTGATGCCAACAAACGTTTAGCTAGGCAGCCAGAACTGGTTCTCTGTATGTATACAAAGCAGGTCTTGATTTGTTATTTTAATAAATGATGTCACAGTCAAGGTTGGACAGATCTAGAGATGCTCATCGTCTTACTTGGAGGAGGTTGCAGCTGTGGTAATGTTGGGGGCAGTATCAGCCCACCATATTCCCTTGGAATAGCTTTAATGTCAAGCTCTTGTTGGAAAAAGGGAGGAATGCTCTTGCTTGCAGAGAAACCTCCCTTTTACCCATATGTGCGCTCAGTGCCTGTGTCCATCACACTGGCAGTGAGCTCCACTAAGCACGCGTGTAACTGTGTTAGTTTCTTAGGTTCTCTCCTTTTTTAAAAAAAAAAAAAATTTTTAAAAATTTTGTTTCTCTTTTCTTTCCCACACCTTCCCCTTCTAAGCATTTTTTTTTAAATGTCATGTGAAACGGGAGAAAGTTGCAGTTCCTCTTTCATACCTTCTTGTTTGGCAAGATCATTCTTCCTACCAGCATCTCAACTTTTTCATGCACTATTTATTTTGGAGTCATGGGATGTTGCTGTTCTGGCACAAACTAGCCAGAAAAAAAAGATGTCCTGATGCTTCCAATAATAATTTGGGGACTTTTTGCTTTATTCTGTAACCTCATACTGACATCGCTCTTTTGGTATCAGCAGGTGCCCTAAATAGGTTATCCGTGAAGCTTTTCTAATGCCTACCGTAAGGCAACCCCAATCCGGGCAATGAAAACCAGTGGGCCTGCTTGACCTCTCCCATTATCCACATTCGGGCCAAAAAGGCTCCTTAAAAATGCCAATTAATTGCCTGCAGTCTTCGGCGGGGCAGATGACAAGCTGTAGCCCTGTGAGAGCCCCTACGTGGGCTGCCCCGGCCGGCGCCGGAGAGTG